AAAAAAAAAAAAAAAAAGTCAGTTATCAATGTAATAGAAATTTGTAGGTTTGCTCCCTGTGGACAATATTTGCCTCTGATTTATTTTGAAAACGATTTTTGTCGGCCATGAGTTAAGGAATAATAAAAACACAGTTGTTGCTTGTTTTTGTAACCTAGATAATTTCACCTGAAAAGAATTGGTATGTTGGGCATGGCCTATTTACCTTCCAGATTAAAGACAGGATGTGCTGAGCAAAAAGAAAATAAAGTCCAGCCATATTTTTGCCATTTTTCCATTACATTCTGTTGGCTCTAGGTAGTTAGAACTCCTTTTACTATTCATTTCTCTGAGCCAAATGGATTTTCCAATGTTTGAAAAGTAAGAGGAAATTTAAAACTTTTTAGACCAAGCCCTTCTTTCCCTTGGGGCCTGTTGGGTGACCTTTAAGAAAAACCCACAGATGGCTTGGGAGACTGTCTTAGTCTATTTTGTGTTGCTTTAACAGAATACCTGAGACTGGGTAATTTATAAAGAAAAGAGGTTTATTTAGCTCATGGTTCTGCAGACAGGGAAGTCTGAAAATCATGGTGCGACTATCTGGTGAGGCCCACATGTTAGGTTGAAACACAGTCCAGAGAAGGGCCAAAGGGAAACAGACACATGGGAAGAGACCAAACCCCAGGGTCTTCTGGTCTATATAACAATGCACTCTGGTGGGAATGAATCTAGTCCTGCAAGAATTAATAACCCAGAGTGAAAAGTCACTCACTATTATGAGAATGGCTCCAAGCAATTTATGAGGGATCCACCCCATGACCCAGACACCTTCTGTTAGACCCCATCTCCCCACACTATCATATTGGGGATCAGATTTAAACACAAGTTTTAATGGGGACAGACAGATCATGCCCAAATCCTCTCAGAAACATGGACAATTGGGAAGATGTGCATCACGAGTGTGTACATACGCATGCATGTGCACAGACACGGTTTGGTAAGTTACAAACGAAGTGGAGGACCTTCAGTGGTTCTCTCCTGAGTTCTGACATCAGCATGAGGAGAAAGGAATGCCCTTTCTCCTTCCCACTTCCACTTCTCCCTTATGGCATGGTATAGTGGTTAAGAGTGCAGATAATGGAGGCAGGAAGACCCAGACTCAAGTTCAGGTTTTGCCATTTAATGGTATATGAATTTGGGCGAGTTCTTTGACTTCTCTAAACCGTGGTTTCCTCACCTGTAAGAGAGAGAGAGGGAGGGAAGGGTTGTAATATCTATCTTAGAGTTTTTTAGGAGGCATCAAGTAAGAAG